CACGCCCCCTACAGAGGATGGAGCCCGCAACCCTGGCACGTGCCCTGACGGGGAATCGAACAAGATCTCTCAGTTCATGGGACAGAACTCAGTCCACTGAGCCACACCAGCCGGGTTAAAGATGAATCTTTATAGTTAAAAACATCCAAGTTACTCATTGTTAATATCCAAGTTGTTTTTTTAAAAAATACAGTACACACAGGTCGCCCTGGCTGGATTTCTCAGTGGTTAGAGCATCAGCCCATGGACCAAAGTGTTGAGGGTTCGATTTCAGTCAAAGGCATGTACCTTGTTTTCAGTTCGATCCTGGCCCTGGTCAGGGTCATGGAGGAGGTAACCAGTTGATGTGTCTTCTTCACATCAATGTTTCTCTCTCTCTCCCTCTCTCTCCCTCCACACCCCACTCGATCTGAAGATAAATGGAACAATGTCCTTGGATGAAGATTTAAAACAAACACGCACAGGTCACCTCACTGAAGGTGTTTATCTGACACTGAGCCTGTCCAACGGCCACGCCATCAGGCCTGCCACACCTGTGTGCTGGCTCAGGGCGTGGACAATGCTGGAACAGGCGCCGGGCACCGCAGGCTCTGCTCTGGACTGAACGCCCCCCATCCCTGAGCTGAAACCCAGCCGCAGCGCATGCTCTGGACTGAACGCCCCCCATCCCTGAGCTGAAACCCAGCTGCAGCGCATGCTCTGGACTGAACGCCTCCCGTCCCTGAGCTGAAACCCAGCCCCAGCACATGCTCTGGACTGAACGCCCCCTGTCCCTGAGCTGAAACCCAGCCCCAGCGCATGCTCTGGACTGAACGCCCCCCGTCCCTGAGCTGAAACCCGGCCCCAGCACATGCTCTGGACTGAACGCCCCCTGTCCCTGAGCTGAAACCCAGCCCCAGCGCATGCTCTGGACTGAATGCACCGCCCCCCCAGCACATGCTCTGGACTGAACGCCCCCTGTCCCTGAGCTGAAACCCAGCCCCAGCGCACGCTCTGGACTGAACGCCCCCTGTCCCTGAGCTGAAACCCAGCCCCAGCACATGCTCTGGACTGAACGCCCCCTGTCCCTGAGCTGAAACCCAGCCCCAGCACATGCTCTGGACTGAATGCACCGCCCCCCCAGCACATGCTCTGGACTGAACGCCCCCTGTCCCTGAGCTGAAACCCAGCCCCAGCGCACGCTCTGGACTGAACGCCCCCCGTCCCTGAGCTGAAACCCAGCCCCAGCGCATGCTCTGGACTGAACGCCCCCCGTCCCTGAGCTGAAACCCAGCCCCAGCGCATGCTCTGGACTGAACGCCCCCCGTCCCTGAGCTGAAACCCAGCCCCAGCGCATGCTCTGGACTGAATGCACCGCCCCCCCAGCACATGCTCTGGACTAAACGCCCCCTGTCCCTGAGCTGAAACCCAGCCCCAGAGCATGCTCTGGACTGAACGCCCCCCGTCCCTGAGCTGAAACCCAGCCCCAGCGTACGCTCTGGACTGAATGCACCGCCCCCCCAGCACATGCTCTGGACTGAACGCCCCCCGTCCCTGAGCTGAAACCCGGCCCCATCACGACGTGTTCGGAGGTGAGGCCTTTGAGAGGTGATTGGTGCTGAGGGTGGAGCCTGGTGAACAGGATTCGTGGAGAGAAGGGTCTGGAGAGCCCCCTCCGCCACCTGTGGGGACAGGGGAGACAGGGAGAAGCAGGAAGTGCTCTCCCCGACATGGAGCCTGCCTGCGGCCCCTTGACCAGGACTCCAGCCCCCAGAACGGTGAGAAACCAAAGTTGGCGCTCCTCTCAGGCTGGACGGAGACAACACCGAGGGCCAGACCAGAACCTGTCTCCACAGGCACCCTCCCGTCCGCCAACGGGTTCCCTGGAGAAACGGGACCAGGACGAGGATGTGGAAGAGGAGGCGGCTACGGAGAGTGGCCAGCCTGAGGGCAGCTGGCGAGGCTCCCTGCCAGTCTGGGAGCTCGGGGGCATCTCCTCTGGGTCAGACAGGAACTCTGCCAGTGCACAGGTGGGGGGCGAGGGTGGGGTGAGGCCTGGGGGGGGCGGCGGGGGGCGAGGGCTGGGGGTGAGGCCTGGGGGGAGCGGGGGGGTGAGGGCTGGGGGTGAGGCCTGGGGGGGGCGGCGGGGGGTGAGGGCTGGGGGTGAGGCCTCCGGGGGGTGGGGGGGCGAGGGCTGGGGGTGAGGCCTCCGGGAGGGCGGCGGGGGTGAGGGCTGGGAGGGCTGGGGGCGAGGCTTCGGGGGGGGCGGCGGGGGGCGAGGGCTGGGGGCGAGGCCTCCGGGGGGTGGCGGGGGCAAGGGCTGGGGGTGAGGCCTCTGGGGGGATGGGGGGCGAGGGCTGGGGCTGAGGCCTCCAGGGGGGTGGCGGGGGCAAGGGCTGGTCAGAGCGCTCCGGCCATGCAGACCAGTGGGCACTGCGGACCCCCTGGCATGGCCTTTCAAAGAGACCTTCCCAAACTGCTGCCGGCCCTCTGCCCGCTCTAGAGGAGCCCACACTCACCAAGCCTGGGCCTGGGACACACATGGGCAGAACTGGGGAGAACTGAGCGAACCCCTGGGACTCGGGCTAGTGCTCCTGTGTGGGAAGCAGAGGACTCACCCCCCAGCCCTCCAGGTGACCGAGCACCGCAGTCCCACCCCTCCAGGTGACCGAGCACCCCAGTCCCACCCCTCCAGGTGACCGAGCACCCCAGTCCCACCCCTCCAGGTGACCGAGCACCCCAGTCCCACCCCTCCAGGTGACCGACCACCCCAGTCCCGCCCTCCAGGTGACCGACCACCCCAGTCCCGCCCTCCAGGTGACCGACCACCCCAGTCCCGCCCTCCAGGTGACCGACCACCCCAGTCCCAGCCCTCCAGGTGACCGACCACCCCAGTCCCACCCCTCCAGGTGATTGAGCACCCCAGTCCCAGCCCTCGAGGTGAACGAGCACCCCAGTCCCACCCCTCCAGGTGACCGAGCACCCCAGTCCCACCCCTCCAGGTGACCGACCACCCCAGTCCCACCCCTCCAGGTGACCGAGCACCCCAGTCCCACCCCTCCAGGTGACCGACCACCCCAGTCCCGCCTCTCCAGGTGACCGACCACCCCAGTCCCGCCTCTCCAGGTGACCGACCACCCCAGTCCCGCCCCTCCAGGTGACCGACCACCCCAGTCCCGCCCCTCCAGGTGACCGACCACCCCAGTCCCAGCCCTCCAGGTGACCGAGCACCCCAGTCCCAGCCCTCCAGGTGACCGAGCACCCCAGTCCCACCCCTCCAGGTGATTGAGCACCCCATTCCCAGCCCTCGAGGTGACCGAGCACCCCAGTCCCACCTCTCCAGGTGACCGAGCACCCCAGTCCCACCCCTCCAGGTGACCGAGCACCCCAGTCCCACCCCTCCAGGTGACTGAGCACCCCAGTCCCACCCCTCCAGGTGACCGAGCACCCCAGTCTCACCCCCCCCCTCTGTCTTTCACCCTCCGGAGGGACTGACCCTCACAGTGAAACACCGAACACGGCCCGGAAAAAGCCACAGCCTGGTCACTGCTGAAGACGTGAGTGTTTCTGGCGAACAGGCTCAGTCCCGACCGTGGTGCTGAGACCCCGCAAGGTCCCACGCAGCCCTAGCAGCGGAGCGCTGTCCGCTTCCACGTGGCCTTCTGGCACCCCGTCCACCCTCCCGAGTGCAGGTCTCTTCCCCTTCAAGCTCCCGGGGTACCCTGAATCAACACCCGAGCGCTTACACCCGATGTGTCATGCAGACAGCGATCACTTGAGACGAGTCCAGGGAGCGGAGCAGGGCTGGAAGGGGGCCGTCCTCCCGGGAGACTGGGTACCCGGCCGGGAAAACCAGCCACCCCGGGTGACACCCTGACTTCCGGATGACCGAGACCAGCTCCACACTCTGTGTCCACGTCCTCCCCCCGCAGGGACAGGACAGATGGAGCAACGCCCCGCGATGTCCTCAGAAACAAGCTGGCCCCGGCGCCCCCTCCAGCGGTGCAGGCCCAGGACAAAAGCCGTCACAATGCTTGGAGGAACAGGTGGGCACCCGCCCCGGGCTGTCCGGGGGGACACCTCCCAGAACCCTCCCAGGAAGGTTCCTCATATTCCCAGGACAGAGTGAGCCTGCTCCCAAATTCCTGGGGAGAGGAACAGAAGGACTTTGTTGGCAGGGACCCACTGACAGTCTGGGGGTGGGGGTGACACAGGTGTGACCAGCTCACCATAGCTGCTCCCGCTCCGCAGAGTATTGGGATCCAGGAGGCCCAGGGCTGGGCTTTGCACTCACCCCAGATCCCTTCCTCCCCACGAACCCGCCTGCCTCCTCTCTGCAACGCAGGGCTCAGGTCTGGGCTCCAGCAAGCCAGTGCCCTGCTGGGGTTCCGACGTCTGACACAGACAACTCCAGCATCTACAGCGAGTCACTGTGTGCGCTGCAGCCACGGCCCCAGGGCCAGTGAGCCAGCCAGACCCCGGGGACGCAGCTGTGGCTGTTCACAGCCTGTGCTCCCACCTCTGCCAGTGTCTCCAGTGACCCCCGCAGGGCACCCGGAGGGGGAGGGACCACCCTGGGCTCTACCTTCAGGGCCACAGTGGGCACGCGAGAATGTGCTCCCAGGGCCCTGGGGCCAGGACAAAACCTGCCCCTCCCAGGCCTTGTGGGGGAGCCTGACTCACCACAAGTGACGGACATTTGGGCTCCTCACCTCCTACCCCGAATGTGCCCTCAGTGAGGACAGCAGTTTCCATGGCCAACACTCCCTGCCCCGGGGGCCGTCAGCATTTCACCAGCAAGAACCCTGCCCGCTGTCCCACACCCCCCACCCTGGGCTGCGGGGGACACACCTCCCCCCTCAGCTGCGGGGCACACACCCCCCACCCCCGGCTGCAGGGGACACACTCCCCAGCTACAGGGGACACCCCCTCACCCCCAGCTGCAGGGGAGGCCTGGCTTACTCTGGCTGACCGCATGGCCATGACAGCACAAGCCGAGGGCGGTGTTCTCACACACTCACCTTTCGGTCTTTACGCCTTCTCTTTGATCCCTCAGGGGGGACGAGGCCCTCGCAGCCTGGCCAGGAGCCTTCCCCAGCACCACACCTTGTTGGTCCGCTCTCCGCACCTACAGCACAAGCGGAGAAAACACTAGTCAGCACTTCCCGGGGACGGTGAACGCAGCTGAAGCACAGGGAAATCTCCGCTCCTGGCGCAGTGTGCGGGCCTGGAGGCCAGCGGAGCAGCCCTGCCCACTGTCCCCGCGTCCCTTCGGGACTTTCCGTCTCCTCCACTCCTCCACCCCACGCCATCCTCCCGACTCCGGGTCAGAAACTGTGCCCGCCAGGCGGCCCTGTGCCCAGGGGCCCCTCTGTCCACCTGGTCGTGCGAAGAGGTGCCATTCCTCAGGCACGACCGCAACTCCAGTTCTCCGACTTCTACACACAGCCCACACCCGGCTCCAGAGAAGGCGGTTCTGCGTCAGAGTACACGAGGCGTCTGGGCGCCGGGGTGAGTGACTCCAGAAAACAAGCTTCATTTCAGGGCAACGCTTCGGGTTCCAGCCTACAAGGGCAGATGCTGCTTCTCCCTGACCCGCCCAGCTTAGACGGGCGTCCCGCCTTGAAGACACACACACTCAAGACTCCGGCAAGTGAACCGTGGTTTCATTAGATGCGGAGCGATGCAGAAACCCCGCGTCACCTACAGTCAAGGGTGAGATGCTTCCGTCTCGTGTTCCTTGTTCTCACTCTTCCCTCCCCAAACGGCCTGCCTCCTATCCGAGTCCGTTGTTATTTTGATGGACGACTAATACCAGCCACCACCTATCTGGTCTCTGGATACGGCTCCCGGCAGCCTAGAGGACACTCGTCCCAGGTCCCAGCCGCAGCCTGGTGCTGGTTGACCAACGCACACACCCACCTTCACCACCCGCTCAGTCCTTGATGCGCTCACCAAAAAATATCAGGCCCTGGCCGGCTTAGAGCATCAGCAGTTAGAGCCTCGGCCCATGCACTGAAGGGTCGTGGGTTCGATTCCAGTCAACAGCATGTACCTGGGTTGCAGGTTTAATCCCGGGCCGGTCAGGGTCGTGTGGGAGGCAACCAATCAATGTGTCTCTCTCTCCCTTTCTCTCTCCCCCTCCCTCCCTCCCTCCACTCTCCCTAAAGAGCAATGGAAACGCATCCTCAGTGGAGGGTTAACAGAATAGATTGGTGTCTACGACGGGCGGCCCACTGCAGAGAGGCACCAGCCCTGTGCCGTCGTCGGGAGCTGAGCCCTGCAGACAGACACACGAGCACGAGGCGCAGGCGGCTCGAGCGCAGCAGGAAGTCACGGCAGGTGACTGAGGCTGCCTGCTGCGCAGACGCTCCAGATGAAGGGGTGCTCTGATCAAGGCGGGTCACACGGGGGGGGGGAGCTGCATGAAGGTCTCAACTCTCCTTTCAAAAGCAAAGTCCGAAGAAGTGGACGCAAGATGCAGAACAAAGGGTTCTCTTGCATCCGAACTAGTCATTGGCAACTTGGGCCCTAAAATCACCAGGCCGGCCGTCAACCGCCTCTGAGCCCTCATGCGGGTCCCCGAAGACGCAGCCCCATGCCCGTGCTGACACGGCTCCTCAGCGAGCTGCTCTGGTTGACCTGTGTCCAGGCCCCTCCCTGTCCGTCCCCTCGACGACGGCCCAACTCATGACGGCAGCTGGCCGGGGCCCCTCCTTGGCAGACGGGTTAGTAGGCCACGTAAACGGGCCTCTGGCTACTCCCTGTCTAAAACCCCGATGGCTTCTCATCGCACGTAGGAACCAAGTCAAGCCCTGGCCAGTTTGGCTCAGCAGTTAGTGTCGGGCCCGGACCGAGTCTCGGGTTCGATTCCAGTCCAGGGCACGTACCTTGGTTGCAGTTCGTCCCCGGTCTTGGTCGGGGTCATGCGGGAGGCAACCACATCGATGTTTCTCTTTCTCCATCCCTTCCTGCCTCCCTCCCACTCTATCTGAAGATAAATAGAAAAATATCTTCGGGTGAGGATTTAAAAAAAAAGAAACCAAACCAAACTGCTCCAAGCCTCCCGGGATCAGGACCACAGGCCCTAAGGTCCGGCTCCTGCTGCCCTTTGGCCCTCACGTCCCCCGAGGCCTTCAGCCCCGGGGTTGTTGCTGGGTTGGCCCCTGTGTCATTCCCACCAGCACGTCCCACCTCAGGACATTTGCACCTGCCAGTGTGCTCAGGGTGAAACGGGACTCTGGCAGTCAGAGGCGACCTCCTCCTGCACACCCAGGCCTGTGACTAATGTCCCCTCTTCCGAGCAGCCTTCCGGGCTGCCCCACCTGACTGCCTGCACTTGCGGTTCTTCCCATCAAACACTGCTCACAACCGGACGTCATGCTCACATCCAGGTGCTGTCGGTCTTCCTCACTACCACGGGACCTCTAGGAGCAGGGCCCGCCCACCATCTCCCTGGACACCAGGAGGTGCCCGGGACACGTGTGCGCAACGAACAGCTGTAAAGTGCACTAATGTAAGTGAGGAGAGAGCAACAAGAACATTTTACTCTTTAGCAATTTTTTGGTTACATTAAGCTTGTATTTGTGTGCTATTTATATTAGAGAACAGAAGTTTAAAGAGAACATTTGTTAATTGAATTTCAACGACTGCTGCTGAACCCTGATGGAAGGCTCCTCCCCCCGGGCCCGTTCAGCGCTGCTCTCACTGAAGCTTGTGCTCAGCGCTCCGCGACCTTGACCGCACACCCTCGGACACCGACAAGGACCGACAGACGGTGAGGCAAGACCTGATCGCAGCCCGGAACTGGGGCGCCACTGGGGAGACAGCAGGCCTAGGCTTTGATACCCGGGCGGCTTCCAAAGGGAGGTGGGGCACCACTGGGCCGATGACGAACCATTAAGACATCGGGGGATCTTGACTTCATCACGACCGAACGAGGGTTAGACTAGACACGCACAAGTCTGTTCCGCCCTGCAAGGCCATGCCGTGTCTCTGGAATGGCGGGGACTCCAGAAGAGATCCTTCCGTCTGTTTCCAGCTCTGAGCCAAGCAGGGTCGCACCAGGGCCCTGAAGCACCCACTGCAAGACGGCCCCGGCCTCCGGACCACTGAGCCCTGAAGTCTCCTGGAAGGGCCCACGCTGCCCCTCACCCTCTTCCCCGTGCCCCACGCAGGACCTGCCTCCGAGGGCCACCGCCCTCCTGCTGGACACCACAGGGACAGCTTTTCTCCCACTTATGCTGTATTTGCACGTGATTCAAGAGTCCTCAAAAGCTTCGAAAGGACACGAGATAAATATTAGTAAAAATGTAATTAACTACCAACACTACCCTTCACATCTAGCGTTTGAAAGTACTTTCAAGTCCGCACTTTAAAATAAGTATTTTGAAAACACACACAAGCCTAATGGAATATAAAATACACTTTCTTATCAAACTTTATATATTTCAGGAAACTAAGATATAAAAATTCAGTTAAAAGTTTACAAAATTCTTTTTGTGAGATCAATTTCCCGAGTTCCTTTATATCCAAGAAAAAGATACACATCTACGAATACTTCAATGCCCATCACTTTCCATCCTGAAAACAGTGGTCCAAACCATGAGGAGTGCAGAAATGATAAAGGATAAACATGGCCTTAGTGAAAAATCACCCAATCTTTAGGTAAAGAGGGTTAAAGTTCGACATTTCCACATTTTGATTTCTGAAATATATTTCTGCTTAAAATCAGAAAGGGTGAAATGTTTTCTAATTTTGCTGTGACCGGAGAATTGGGTGGACTGCCCTCTCTGCTGTGGTGGGAGTGGGGCTCTCACGATATTTGGGAAAAAGAATTTTTTAAGACACACAGGAGAATGAGTGGTTTTTATTTGTGTGCAATTATATGCCTGTCTCTAAATTCCGTTTCCCTTAACCCCGTCCTGGAAGATGTGCAGCTGGGGACTCGGCAGAGCTAGATGCAGAGCCAGGGTCCAGTTTCCGTTCCATGGCGGGGCTGGGTCCCGCACAGCATCAGGCTGGTCACAGTCCATCAGTCCACGTGTGTGGGGTCCACGTGGCCGTGAGCCATGCGGGTGAGGGCAGAGGACCGCGTCCCCTGGAACAGGGGAACCAGGAGCCTGGTGCACGAGAGAACAGACAGGGCCAACCCTTTTGTTCAGGAGTTTAAATACCAAATCTTCCCATACTTGCAGTGGCCACGCCTACTCTGGCCACTGATCCATCCCCGTGTGACTGACAGGCAAGCATCGTCCCATGTCACCCAGACCTGCCTGGGCAGGCGTGTACCGTCCAGTCCCTTCCCCAGGATCTGTGGGAACGAACCTGCCGAGTGTTGACTGCGGCTTCCTGGCGAAGCTGCACAGAAGGCCTGAGTTACCCAGCCTCCCCTTCCCCTTTCCCGTCCAGTAACCACCAGGTTACACAGCGGCCTCACTACCTTCGCGACAATTACTTCCATTACACAGTCCATTGATGTGGTTACAGTTACATTACCGACCGGAATAAATCTAAATGGCACATTTAAAGCAAAATAAATAAAAGTCAAACAAAGTCTGCTACAATAAACTCGGCTAAGGAAAGCGTTAAATATTTCTTTATAGCTAACACTGTCAAAATTTTCTGCAAAATAAATTACTAATGACATATATCCATGTACTTTTCCATACCTTCCCTTTTCTTGATAGAATCAGTGACCTTCACCGCCCGCAATAAACAGTGTCCCTGCTGGGAATGCAATGTGTGTACACCCCATCTGCGTGTGCCTCTGTGCACACAGCCCCGTCTACGTGTGCCTCTGTGCACAGCCCCGTCTGCGTGTGCCTCTGTGCACAGAGCCGTCTGCGTGTGCCTCTGTGCACAGCCTTGTCTGCGTGTGCCTCTGTGCACACAGCCCCGTCTGCGTGTACCTCTGTGCACAGCCTTGTCTGCGTGTGCCTCTGTGCACACAGCCCCGTCTGTGTGTGCCTCTGTGCACACAGCCCCGTCTGCGTGTGCTTGTGCACACAGCCCCGTCTGCGTGTGCCTCTGTGCACACAGCCTTGTCTGCGTGTGCTTGTGCACAGCCCCGTCTGCGTGTGCTTGTGCACAGCCCCGTCTGCATGTGCCTCTGTGCACACAGCCTTGTCTGCGTGTGCCTCTGTGCACACAGCCCCGTCTGTATGTGCTTGTGCACACAGCCTTGTCTGCGTGTGCCTCTGTGCACACAGCCTTGTCTGCGTGTGCTTGTGCACAGCCCTGTCTGCATGTGCTTATGCACAGCCCTGTCTGCGTGTGCTTGTGCACAGCCCCGTCTGCATGTGCTTATGCACAGCCCTGTCTGCGTGTGCCTCTGTGCACACAGCCTTGTCTGCGTGTGCTTGTGCACAGACCCGTCTGCATGTGCTTGTGCACAAAGCCCCGTCTGCGTGTGCTTGTGCACAGCCCTGTCTGCGTGTGCCTCTGTGCACATAGCCCCGTCTGCGTGTGCTTCTGTGCACAGCCCGGCACTACGGTGAGGCTACACGGGAACACAGAAGTGTGCGCCCGCCGATGATGCACACTAACTGCACACAGTGCAAGAGGTATCACTTTCTTCTCACCGGGAGAAAGAAAGGGCTCGGAGAAATTTATGCCTAACAGAGGTGACCTAGAAATTCCATAGGGTGGTGAGCCATTGCCTCTAAAGAATGTACCACCAGAAAATATAAAAACCCACATTCTTTAAAATTAAAAAAAAAGAGACATTTAATTATGCAAGAATCAGGATGAACATACAAGATGTACACACTGTTCCGCGCTCCTAGACGGAGGCACCTGGGACTCACGGCTCCCCTGCAGCCTCTGCCCAAGTCGGCCCTTCTCCAGACCGGGCCACATGCCAATCACCTACCCAATTCACGTATAATGCTGTAAGATTCACCTTCAGAGGAGCTCAGCGTGCTAGAAGTGGGGCCTTCTCTTTGCACGTCCACCAACTCTTCCATTTCTTCACTGCTCGGAGCGGAACCACCCTGCTGCGCTCTGCCGGCCCGTCCCCTCTGGTGCATGAGCCCGCTGTCGCTGTGGGAAAATCCATTCCCGTCGGGGCTCGCACCAGCTCCCTTCTGCGCATCAGCCTGTCCACAGCGCCCGGGAGCTTCCTCAGCAGCAGGTGTCTCCTTAGACGTCGCACCACCCACAGGTGTGTCGGACTCATCCCTTCTCGGCGTCTGGAGACTGGAAGTAGGTTTCGCTGTCACACTGGTGATGGCGACTGACCTGGGTTTTCTGCCGATGCAGGAAAAGTCACACGTTTCTAAGACGTTTTTTCTCTCCTCCTTGGAAAGCCCTACTCTGCAGAGGAACTGAGCAGGGCTTAAGGACGACCGCCGTCCAGGGCGAAGACTGTCCGAGCGCCTTTCCCTAAGGTTATCGGGTGAGAAGTAATCCTCATACGAGGACGCCCCCCCGTCAAGTGTCCTGACAGGAGAGCTGGCCGTGGCCTGCAGGCCGCTCTCTGCTGGGAACAGCTGCACGCGTGGCGCGGGAGACCTCCTGCCGACTCTTTTCTTCAGTCTTTCCTTCGGAGGCGGAGGTTCTGCGGTTCGTCTTCTCTTTGCCGAGCTCTTGGGCCACAGGTGTCCCAGAGGGTGGCCTTTGGCTGCAGACGACGCAGGAGACAAAGCACCCCTCTCATCGACCATCGGGGCGGTGCCTTCAGGCGGCTTCTCAGGACCAACCACCTCACCGCCAGGCCCTCGCTGCCCACTTCCTTCTTCCTCCAAAGGGTGCCTCGTAGATTTCTGGGGAGGTGACTGGCTGCGGGGCGTGGGAGATGCTGGTGGCTGGATACTGCTTGTTCTCAGTGCAGGTGAAGAAACACACACCTCACTTTCAATGTCATCAGCGAATCCGCCCCACTTCCTTTCCTGGTTCCCACATCTTGAGTTTCCACAAAGATCATCAAAAGACAACTGCAGACCACCAGCAAAGGAGTCCTCTGGAAGACAATGACAAAGAACGAACCTTTAAAAGAGGGTCTGGGTCACTGTACAAGTAACCCTGCCTTCTCGAGCACAGTGACACAGCTGAAGCACTGTCATCATTAGGAGAGCTAACCCTGGCTGGCCTGGTTCCCTGACGACACGGAAGCATGCCGCTGGCCCCAGCACACGTTCCCGAGGACACGGAAGCATGCCGCTGGGCCCCCCGAGCACAGGCGGGAACACTGTCCACAGCTCTCCCACTGTGCTGTGATGCACATTCAACTGCAAGTTATTTCACACGAGATTATATGTATATACTTTTAAGCGAGCAACTGAGTCGGTGTCAAGAAAACAAATGCTAAGAGAAAAACCACAGGAACCAAAAAACGAGGTTTAATTCTTGCAATTTGTCATGACGTAATTTTATTACAATCACTATTTTTTATTACTTCCTAATTTCAGGGTAAATTCAGGAATTCTACTTTGTAAGTAACTAGAGTCTTCTCATCGAATGGAATTCCAAATAAGAACAACCATAATATTCTTATGCTTAAATATATCACAGAAAATAACTTACCTGAGCACAGAGTATCATGTGAAATGTTCGAAGATGCTTCACACGAAGAGTTAACAGGGTTCTCATAAGGCTTTTCAATCGTTTGGGAAGCTGAAAGCACAATCAAAACATTTCGTTAGACACAATTCTGATACACTTTCAGACGAAGCCACGGAGCCCAGGCGCCTGCGTCACCCACACAGGCCGAGGCCTCGTCCTGCGCCTTCCACACACGCCGGAAACGAGCCCAAGAGCGTCCTGAAATCTATCGCAGGTGATGAGCACCATAAATTAATGCACTTAACCCACCTGTGAGAGGGTTAGCCCCGGGACAAGCAGAGAGGGCCTGGAAAGCCGGCCTGGCCGGGCCCAAGCGGAGGCTCGGCCAAGGGGACCGGCTCTCTCCCGTCCGTCCCAGCCTGACGAGCAGGCTCCTTCTCCAGCACCGCACCCGCCGCCCCAGCGGGCTCCCTGCACACCTGCCGCCTGTCGTGTGGCACTGGGGCGGGGGCACTACGCTGCTGGCACCTGACGGGCAGAAGCCAGAGATGCAGCCAAGCCTGCCACCAATCCCAGGCAGCACCCCGTGAAGACGTGCCCGGCACAGGGTCAGTGGTGCCGAGGCTGAGGGACTCGGAAGGTTTCACAGAAAACACCAGGTTGGGTTGCCTGTGATTTAACAAACAAGGTCATAAGCATTATCTTCAAAGACTGTGACTATAACACACCAGAAACGAGACATTCTGACCTCATACCCACAGGTGTCCACTGAGAAAACTCGAGCACACAATTAAAGAGCAGGAAGGAGCCGAGACGAGGAAGGGAAGCTCCGGAAGCTTCTACGGCTGGCTCTGAGCTGCGCTCGCGCACCGAAGCGGCAGATGCGACCCTGCGAGGGCGCGGGTGCAGGTCAGGGCGAGTCTCTGTGCAGGGTACACGGTCACCAGCAGCACGCAACCCCCGAACACTGCCCACGACACACCTCCGTGTCCACGCTCACCCCCTCTCAGCAACAGCACCTCACTTACTACAGCAGCAAGCCACGCTGCAAAGATGACATTCCGTCGGGCTCGTGGTCTCCTGGAGGCCACTTGGTTGCCTTCTTCCTGGGCTAGAACAGCTGCAGCCCCACCGGCCAGGTCACCCCGATGCTGGGTCACCGGGCACACGGACTGCATGTCCGACTCAGATACAGGCTGCACAGCCTGTCGCCTCCCTGGAGCAGCGCTGCTGCCCTTGCCGCTCTCTGGCCATCGGCGGTTACAGGTGGCTCACAGCCAGGAACAGCCACAGGACTGAGCTCAGCCCACGGACTTCGGCAGCAGCAGTGGACCAGGCTTCCGGTCAGGGTACTCCCAGGAAGCTGGCCCAGCTGGGAGGCACATGTCTGCAAACAGCCAGGCACCAAGGACAGCAAAGCAGAGACGGGAGCCAGACACCAGGGCAGCCCGAGTGCCGACTTCCGACTGCTCTGGGGCGACAGAGACGGGCGCCTCCGTCCAATCCAGCCGCTGGTGCTGCTCCCCTGTCACATGCAGCCAGAACTAACCTGACTGCGGTGCTCACGCCGTATCATACACACACACACATGTAAACGCAACACCTGAAAAGTCTAGCCTTGCCCTGGCCGGTTTGGCTCAGCGGTTAGAGCTTCGGCCCTCGGACCAGAGTCGTGGGTTCATCTGGTCAAGGGCACGTACCTTGGTTGCAATTCGATCCCGGCCCTGGTTGGGGTCGTGCGGGAGGCAACCCACCGATGTCTCTCTCGTATCAATTTTCTCTCTCTCTCTCTACCCCCCCACCCCCACACTCTATCTGAAAAATCCATAAAAAAATATTTGTCTACATTAAATGTAACATTTCTGTTTAGCAAAAGTCACTGCAGGTGACATGAGGACGGATTTGGTGTCTTTATCCAACAACAAATTCACTGAGTGCCTGTACCACGGAGCACCCTGTGTGCACACTGGACAGCTGGGAGGTGTCACAACTGGTGACAACCAGAACAACTCTTTAGTGGAAAGACACCCAAACAGCTCTGCCAATCAGAAGGAAAAGTACACAATGGATTTGGACAAAGACATGGAACTCACAGACATAACAGAGCCCAGCACTGAGTTGGTCAGGGATGGCCAGTCGACAACACAAAAAGACATCCAACCTCACCAGCCCATTCCCCGCCGACCTCAACAGCGATCACACAAAGAAGAGCAGTGTTTCCGTCTCGGGGTGAAGAAGACCTGAGACCACTGCCACCCAGTTTTCCAAGGGGAGACACGGGCATGTTTGCAAACGACCAGCAAAGGCACCATGGCCATCTGTCAGAATCTCTTGAAAAATAAAAAATTATAGATAAAAATTTAACTTCTGCCTGTGCACACTGATGTTCCCTCGATCCATGAGGACCCAGGAGGGCGAGACGTCTGCAGAAGCACGTCTGCGTGGATGTAACAGTGGGGTGGGGAGCCCGACACCCACGAGGCAAATGGTTAGAAGCCCAAGAACAGCAAAACCACGATGTCTAAAAAGAGTAACGATTGCAGCGTTAATTCTAGTGAAGAAAAACTAGAAAAACATGCAACAGAGGAATTCAATATTAAAACTCTACACTAATTTGCAGCATCTTTTAAAGAAAGAAAAAAAAAAAGAGTTAGGTCCAACTACTGACCTGAGAAAACCTTCAAACCACTTTTAAGTAAGAAAAAAAGTTGAAAATAATAGGTATGCCAGGATCCAATGCAAAGAAAGTCACAACTCCACACAGAGAGGCACAGGTTATCTTCATGCGACGCAGGTGTGCAAGGAACTGGAAACACACCCTTCAAACTCGGGTTGCCGTGGGCAGAGGAGGGTCAGGTGGGAATCAAGACGGTTCTCACTAAGGAGCCACAGACTGGTCAATGTTTTATAAAAGTATATATGCAAATTAATTAAAAGTTTTAAAGATAAAGGAAAAAACACAAATTGATGGTTATGTTTAGATACTTAATCTAAAGCAAATTCCTTCAAAAGAGAGGACTGATTAATTTAATTTAAAAATCCCATAGTGTTAAGCCCTGGCCGGTTTGGCTCAGCAGTTAGAGCATTGGCCTGAGGACCAGAGAGACCGGGTTCGGTTCCCGCTAAGGGCATGCACCTCAGTTGCAGTTTGTCCCCAGCCCTGTTTGGGTCGTGCGGGTGGCAGCCACTCGATGTGTCCCTTTCACGTCGATGTTTCGCTCTCTCTCTCTCCCTCCCACTCTATCTGAACAAAAAATGGAAAAATGTCCTCGGGTGAGGATTAAAAAAATAAATAAATAAATAAAATAAATTAAAAATCCCATAGTGTTAAAACTGACAAAGGAACTACAACAAACAGGATTCTAGCCCTGGAGAACAATACACTCAACTCACGCTTAAAATGCTAATGAAGCATGAGGTTTTCTGGAAGAAAATATTAACAAAGTCTGTCCTGAAATAGGTTAAAATCTGTTCGAGTCAGGAAACTTGAAATAAACACCAAGGAAAAGGAAAACAGACACCTTTCGACCACAATGTGTCACCTATTCGCATCACTTGCATTTCTGAAATGGAAGCACTTACAGGTCGGGGAGAGGTTTTCCCGTTTCTCCTTCATCTCCTGCAACCTCTTCTCCATGGCCCTGTGGTGACCACGGTACATGGTGATGGTGGGACTGTACGTCAGGGAACCATTGGACTCAAACAAGAGAACAGGGACGTCATTCTCTGAAAAAAACAGAAAACAAAAACAAAATCCAGTTTGAAGCTCAAAAATGCAATCCTACTTCAACAACAGGATTCCTTTTAAGTTCCCCAACCACCACAGTTTCCTCCTCCCCTTTCCAATCATCACCTGCTGATACCAACAGTCTACCACCTCCACCTGCACCAACAGTATCACCACCTCTACAACAGAACCAACACTCCGTCTCCTCCACCTGCACCAACAGTATCACCACCTCTACAACAGAACCAACACTCCGTCTCCTCCACCTGCACCAACAGTATCACCACCTCTACAACAGAACCAACACTCCGTCTCCTCCACCTGCACCATCAGTATCACCACCTCTACAACAGAACCAACACTCCGTCTCCTCCACCTGCACCATCAGTATCACCACCTCTACAACAGAACCAACACTCCGTCTCCTCCACCTGCACCAACAGTATCACCACCTCTACAACAGAACCAACACTCCGTCTCCTCCACCTGCACCAACAGTATCACCACCTCTACAACAGAACCAACACTCCGTCTTCTCCACCTCCACCATCAGTATCACCACCTCCACAACAGACACCCAGGCTATAGAGAAACACTGGGAACACAGCACTTCAGAGCATCAGGACTGTCCGAAGGGTTCTCCAAATCACTGAAAGAACACGTCTACTGGAAAAAAAGATTAAAAATGGCCAGAGGTTCTGAGTAGACATTTTTCCTGAGAAGACATACAGATGGCCAACAGGCCCATGAAAAGATGCGAACATCACTCATCACCAGGGAAATGCAAGTCAAAACCACAATGAGACACCACCTCATCTGTTAGAGTGACCATCACCCAAAAGACAAGAGATAACATGAGTTGGGAGAATGTGGAGAAAAGGAAACCCCTGTGCATTGGTGGTGGGAATGTATACTGGTGCAGCCACTGCGTAAACCAGTATGGAGGTTCCTCAAACAATTAAGAAAACTTCCATGGGATCCAGCAATGTCACATCTGGGCAGTTAACCAAAGAAAATACAAGATATCTGCACCCCCTTGTTGACTGCAGCATTATTTATAACAGTCCAGATATGGAAGTAACGTAACTGTTCATCAATGGATGAATGGATAAAGAAAATGTGGTACATATATACAATGGAATATTACTCAGCCATAAAGAATGAAATCTTGCCATTTGAGACGACATGGATTGGACCTTGAGGGCATTATGTTAAGTGAAATGGACAGAGCAAGACAGATACTGTATCAAATCACTAATATGTGGAATCTGAAAAAAAACCATCTGAGAACTCAGAGAGCCAGAGGGCAGATTGATGGCTGCAGGGGGTGGGGAATGAGGGGCATGAAATGGGTGAAGGGGCAAAGGGTACAAACTTCCAGTAATAAAACCAGTCAGTCATGGGACGCACTGTTCACATGGTAACTACATCAACAATACTGTGCTCAACATTTGAGACCTGCTAAGAGAGTACATCGTAAAAGCACTAATGGCGAGAAAAGAAATGAAAAAAATATGTGTAACTATGTATGTTGATGAACATTAACAATGTGCACAAATACTGATTCAGGCATGCACCTGAAACTAACACAATGCTATATGTCAATTACACCTCAAAACAAGAACCACTTTGTGATTGACTGGCTCACCTGTGGCCCTGTGACGGCTACTGCCAAGCGGCCTGAACTCGGTACCTCCCCCCAGGCCAGAACACTGCGGTCCCCCGTCGCTAGGCCACCCTGCCTGCCACTAGTCACCAGGCAAATCAAACCAGATGCGTGCACACAAATGCAAAGGGTCACACCATAAGTCTTTGCTTACCTAGAGTTGTTTTTTGCTTTTGTAGCTCATTAGCCATTTTCTCAATTTTCTTTTGAAGTCTCTTGTCATTTTCTGGTGTTTTAGGAATAAAATCTTTGGGCTGCATACACCTATGCTGTGCAAAAAGAACATAACAATTAACATGCAGTACTGCAATTACGCAAAACAGGAAAAGAACCCTTCCGTGTACATTTTGAATGTCTCTTATAACACTAAGGTATTTTTTGCACTAAGGTATTTTTTGTGAGTTTACACACTGTAAAAGTGTGATCAGAGTCCTGGCTGGGCAGCTCAGTTGGCTGCAGCGCGGTCCTGTGCACCAAAGGCGTGCAGATTCGATTCCTGGTCAGGGCACAGACCAGGCTGCAGGTTTGATCCCTGGTTGGGGCACACACAGGAGGCAAACCAATCAATGTTTCTCTCTCTCCCACTCCCTTCCTCTCTAACAATAACAAAAAAGTCAATAAACATCCTTAGGTGAAAATTTAAAAAAAACCAAAAACCTCAAAAAGAGATATGAATAGAATGCAAAGACCGAATGAAGGGCTGTCTAAGCCGCCTGCTCCCGCGGCCCGTGCGGGGAGCGTCCCAGCCGCCTGCTCCCGCGGCCCGTGCGGGGAGCATCCCAGCCGCCTGCTTCCGCGGCCCGTGCGGGGAGCGTCCCAGCCGCCTGCTCCCGCGGCCCGTGCGGGGAGCGTCCCAGCCGCCTGCTCCCTCGGCCCGTGCGGGGAGCGTCCCAGCCGCCTGCTCCCGCGGCCTGTGCGGGGAGCGTCCCAGCCGCCTGCTCCCGCGGCCTGTGCGGGGAGCGTCCCAGCCGCCTGCTCCCGCGGCCTGTGCGGGGAGCGTCCCAGCCGCCTGCTCCCTCGGCCCGTGCGGGGAACGTCCCAGCCGCCTGCTCCCTCGGCCCGTGCGGGGAGCGTCCCAGCCGCCTGCTCCCGCGGCCCGTGCGGGGAGCGTCCCAGCTGCCTGCTCCCGCGGCCTGTGCGGGGAGCATCCCAGCCGCCTGCTCCCTCGGCCCGTGCAGGGAGCGTCCCAGCCGCCTGCTCCCGCGGCCCGTGCAGGGAGCGTCCCAGCCGCCTGCTCCCGCGGCCCGTGCGGGGAGCGTCCCAGCCGCCTGCTCCCGCGCAGGGAGCATCCCAGCCGCCTGCTCCCGCGGCCCGTGCGGGGAGCCGCCCAGCCGCCTGCTTCCAGGACAATTCTCAAAAACATTAGCCTCTTTCTTCTTGTGCATGATACGCTCATGTTATCGCCCTGCCCCACAAAAGTTATGACATGGTAATAAAACACAAAAGCAATTATTTTATAACTGCCAAAGGAAACAACCATTAATCTTGCCTTGTCTTTAAAGCACAGTAACCCCATTCAGCCAGTAAAAAGCCCAAAGTGTAACTACACATGAAATCTGTGACACGTCAGGAAACCTCGGCCATGTGAACCCAGGCTCACGTCTTCGACAAAGTCCTGAGTTAGCTCTGGAGTGTCACACCCTCGAAGGGGCACGTCTCCTAACACCTCACACCTTCCCACTGCCTCTGCTGCAGAAGCACTGAGAGCCCGGCCCACCCAGGCACACCTGAGCCTGCACCACCCCCACACCTGAGACTTTCGCAAGGACCCTGGAGGAGGAGGTCTGCCGCCGGGCCTCCTGGTTCTCAGGCGGAGCCGTCAGCCCGCGTGTTTCCAGGGCACCCAGTCTGACCCGTCCCGGCGTCAACAGCGTTAGAGGGAGACCTCATGCCTGTGCTGAGGACTCGATTCAGCATCCGGCCCCACCAGGGAGCCATCCTCTCGTTCTTCTGATGAGCTGACAAGACGTAGCTGTGTGTCGGGCACTGGTCTTGAACACAGACCCTCGCCACGGAGCTTCCTTTCTCCGAAGGAAGGGCAGGAATAAGCACAGCAGCAGCCAACACGCCGCGTGTGGGACAGTCCAGTCCGGCAGCGGCGCTGGCCTGCCACTCCGCCAATGTACCGCACGGCCTGCCTGTGCAACCGCTGCGACAGTGAGCTTCAGACTGCGGTCCACGGAGTGCGGGTCTGCGCCCCTGCCCCGGGCGTCAGCTTGCCTGTGACCAGTGGGGGGGTTGTCACAGCGGAGGGACTGCAGTGCGAACATAGGTTCCGAAGCGTGGTCACGTGGGGTCGGGGGATCTCCACTGAGACCTGAAGCTGATGTAAATGCCGCCACCGCCATCACCACAGGAGGGAGGGAAGGCAGCTGGCCAGGCGGCTAGGCGGGGATGCACTGCTCGCCCACGTGAGGGAAGCCCGCGGTCCCCCCGAAAGTCGTGCCGGCACCATGCCCTGCGGGAGTCGGAAACCGGTCGTGTGGATGGATTTCGGGGCGAGCGAGCTCCCGACAGAGGGAGCAGGCAGCGCACTGGCTCTGAGACACAAATGAAGCTGGCGTGTCTGAAGGCCGGGAGGAGGGTCAGCCAGCAGCCCCTGGAAGAGCCCAGGGCACAGGTCCGAGTCCCGCTCCCTTCGGAACAGGGAAGGAGAGGCGCCGGGAGGAGGAGGGGCCCCGGCCAGGCTGTAGCTGCGCACTGCTGGTGGGCTGCTGAGGTCGCAGTGTCTGCGCTTCTGACCCACCGACCCACGTCCCGGCCGTCCACCTGGACAAGTGCCCACGGTCCAGGGGACGGGCCCAGGAAAGGCACATTCACGCCGCAGAACACAGCGCGGGAACAGGGAGCCGCGCGGGCTGCGTCCTCGGCCAGAACGCACTGCTCCGCGAAGGGCTGCCGCCACCGAGACACGTGTCAGACATGCTGTGTGGCTCCAGGGTGACGCCTGTGCGCGGGCCACTCGGTCCCCAACCACCAGGTCAGGCTGGAAGCTGCTCGCCTGGAGGGAGTGAGGAGACGGTCGCTTTACATCTCACGACGTCTGCTAGGAACTTCCCCGGAGCACGTGCTTGCCTGACGGACGCTCTTGAAATAAGCGCTTTCTTTTTGAAAGGACAGACACAGCGTCGCTCAGCCGGGCAGTCAGAGCCTGCCGAGCCTTCAGCGACAAGCGCGAGAGAAGACCCACCCGGAAGGACGGCCCAGCCAGCCCGCGGCTCGCAAATGCTGGCTCGTCCGAGGCGGAGCGTCAGGAAGACGTCGGAGGGCCATCTGCGGGGCGCAGAGGCGGCCGCAGGAGCTCCCCATCTCCAGGAGACGCGCGGTTCCCGCCTGGGACTCGCGCCTGGACGAGAACCTTCTCTCCAGTGCGATGCTCACACGCGCACACCGTGCCTGGCACTGCGCAGTGACCTAGTTTTCTCTCCCACGAGGACACGTCCTGAGAGGCTCCAGAACGTGAGTCAGGCCTGAGAGGAAGCAGCTCCCTCCTCCGGGACAGCAGGTTTTCTGTAATGAATAACCTGACACACTGGAGCTCCAGAGTCCAAGATTTTCCAGCTGAACCTAACAGAGGCATTCACTACGGACCCCACAGAATCCTTCTGCAGTAATGGTGAGAGCGCTCGAACGTCTGTGGTCTCTAGACTTTGCTTTCTCTTACCCAACAAGTCTTTTCCATTTCTTGCAAATTCCATCAAAGTATTCACGGGGTAAAATAATCTCTCACTAAAAATGCTACGTGACAACAGTATCATCAATAGCCATACTGAAGACAATGCCTGACTATATTTCTAAGTTTTATTTTTCTAGAAGCCAGAAAAAAAAAAATGAATAAATGCATAGTTGGCACCACCCACACTGCAACCGCATACTTACTTTCTTCTTGACGAGGCACGGCAGGTGTCCGTGAGCGCTCGCTGCCGGGAACAGGGACTCCGCGACGTGCGCCCCAGCCGTCCTGCACCTGTAGGAGACCCAAGTCCTCTCGTGAGCATGCTGGTTAGGTCCACGCAGCATTAAATCTGCACGTCAGTGGTGACTGAAGAAACCCACGCACTGGCCGCTTTAATAGACATGTCTACTAAGTAAAAACACGTAGTACCGAATACAGACGTCACTTTAAGGATAAGAGTAGAAGTGGGAGGTGTGAAGACGTGTTCTTTTCCCGCAGTAGCTTCAGCTTTGCATCACATTCCCGAATGCCCAGTGCACGGCGCTCGTGAAGGTGTGAGCACGTGCCCCTAACGCATGTCAACAGGCTGCAATGTGAGGGCTTAGAGCTAGAGAGTCCTGAAGAAGTTGAGGGCAGAAAGCCTACCCCCTTTCTGTGTTCCTCTCAGACGCGCAGCCCGCCACCCGCGCTCCTGCAGGGCCGCCCCCGCCCCAGCCTGGGCCACCACTTCGTCACAGCCGCTCTCCAAACACCGTCCACCTTCCTTCCTACACCGGCGACCTGGGCCAGGACCTGCATGCAAGCCCTCAGCCGCTCAGACCTGGACTACAGAGATTTCCTAAGCGTTGTCCTTCTGTAACTCATCTATCACTGAAATAGTAATCTTAAAGCAGTTACGAATTCCCGACCCAGATCCAAAACCCTCCCCACCCCGTTTGCAGAACAATCTCACTTATCTGTGAAGTCTTTTTAAAATTCACCCTAACCACTTCTGACTGTATTTCAGAAGATATCCCTGCTCAATACCTAGTATGCAAATGAGTTAAAGACATAAATAAAATACAGTCCAAACAAAGAACGGGGCAAGGACACCCACGCGGATACAGAAACTCCCTCAAACATAATAAGAGTGAGCAGGAGCCCTGGCCAGTGTGGCTCAGCTAAGATGGAAAGGGTGTCGATTTGGGGGACACGTGAATGGAAGACGTGTTCTGACGACGTGTCGCTCCGAAAGCTCTGAGCCTGTGCAAGGACTTCAGCAGGGACCCTGGACGGCGGGCACCAGGCCACGTCCTGCAGGTGGGGGGTGGTTCCGGTAGGAATTCTGAGACACGGCCACACTCCCTACTGCCACTCTCCTGGGGCCCTGGTCCTGTGGCCCACCTTGCTGTGGCTGCCTGGCAACTGGACCTTGGTCCCCGAGACACGCGTACAAGAGAAATCAGAATGCATACAGGGTTTGGTGCTATCCAATGCTTCAGGCATCCACTGGGGGGGGGGTCTTAAAATATATTCCACATGGACAAGGGAACGACCGAACTGTATGATCTATGTGGAAGCCCCCCCCCCCAAAAGTGTGCGCGTATGTAATAACAAAGGTCACGGGTGCAGAGGATGGAGCAGTGGCTGCCAGAGGCGGGGGTGGAGGGCGGGAGAAACGGGCCCAGGAGACACGCGCACCAATGTCTGCGGCAGCAGTATTTGGGATGGAGACACCTGGGATGCTCACCAGCGTGGGCGGGACACACTAACGAGCACTGGACGGCCGTGCCCTGGGCGAACCCCCGGCGCCATGCGGAGCTGCAGAGGCCGTGAGCAGGGGCGCTGCAGCCGGCTCCACTCGAGGTCAGGGGCAGACACCAAGGTCACGAAGGGCAGGGGCACGCGCAGCAGTTACACTCCCCACGGTGCCCAGAGCTGGCAGCACTGGCCCCGCTCACTGCTGCCACCGCAGCAGAGGGGACGGGCGACACCAACCAGAGACGCCCTGGACTCGGGACACCCAGCGGAGCCCAGCAGCACGAGCAGGTCACTTGAGAGGAGACGCACTGCGGGCATCTTCAGGCGGCTCAGGACAACCCGCAGCCACGGCAGTGCACACGAAGTCTCTGTGGTGCCCACTGGCCCTGGAGCACCGGGAAGCACTGGGTGTGCAGACTGCAGACCTGTGTGTATGGAGCGGGCTCCCGGAAGGCAGGGAGCTGGACAGCTCAAGTCCCCCTCCCACTCCAGAGGGTCAACAGACAATGTCAAAAACTGGAGAACCAAGACAGTGACAGGCACAGGGAGGACATGACAAGTCGTGGGTGGCAGGAGGGGTCACAACGGGGTCCCACTCTCTCTGTGCTGTGTGTACATGGCGGACGGTGGGGGACTCACATCACCCCAGTGAAAGCTAAGTCTCCTGAGTCAAGGGCACCATAAACCGAGACAGAAAAACAAGTTTAGAACAGAAACGATGGCGAGTTGGCGTGGGGCCCACTGCGACGCGTCTGTGCGTCACCTGCAGGAATTCCCGTGCGGGCCCGAGCTTACAGGCCCAGGACGGCCGAGGACGCAGGCAGAGGCACCCTGAAAACTCCACCATGGCCCTGCAGGAGCGCCTCTGCCCTCTCCCAGCGTCCTCCTGCACCCTAGGTTCCAGCCATACCCTGCTGCTCCCCCAGACTTGCCCCCGATCTCTGAACGACTTCCTGCCTTTTCTCCGCAACTTGAACATCAGGACTGAACAAACCGGTGGACCCATCCGACAGAACAGCACTCGGCTCTAAAAGCAGCAAAGCTGTAGCTTACACAGGGTGTCTGCAGGGCCTGCTACATTCTGAAGGTAAGATGTATTCAATAAACACTGGCTTTATCATTATAAGCTGTGTACACACGTTTTCGGGATACCCTATATAGAAATACATAAAACACATGATCCACCTCAGAAACACCGTGCTCAACAAAAGCGGCCGGCTCAGGGGGGGCACACCAGAGCAGCCTCCCGACGGGAGATTCCAGAACACACAATGCTGACCTGCAGTGAGGGCCGCCCGGGCAGTGGCGGCCGTGGGGCGGGGCGGGTCTGCGGGCGGCAGAGGGCACGGGGCACTTGGGGTGACGGGAGTGCCCTGTGCTTCGAGTGCGGTCACGTGGGTATGCACAGTAGTCAATACAATGACGTGTACACTTAAAGTGGGCACATGTTGTTTCGCATCAGTCACGCGTCAGAGTGGATGACGCACACTGCAGGCCGCGGTGGACGATGCAGGATGGGCAGGACCAGGGCTAGTGAGACGTGGCAGGAGCGGGATGTGTCCCAGCAACGCCTCTTCTCAGAGGGCCCTTTGTTCTGTTCCCACCGAGCAGCACTCACCCAGCGAGGTGCACCCACTTCCCACAGTTGCAGACAGAACTCGCACGGGGGCGGCCGAGCAGCGTGCGGAACACGGGGTGCAGAGTCAGGGAAACCTCCCGGCACAACCCTGGTCACCGCAGGGCAGTGCTGTGCTCACAGTGCCCCTGGGCGAGGTGCGGACACTCCGGACCAGGGCCGAGTCCACAGGACAGAAGCTCTCGCTCCCACTCGGGGGTGGGGAACAGCCGGGCCCAGGGGGAGTGGGTGCCAAGGGCTGTCTCTCCCCTCTGGGAACAAGGTCCCAGCCTGTTCCCTGTGAGGACGACACGCTCCAGGACGCCAACCCCTGGGGCTCACCGGTGACCTTTCCCCGTGAGGGCCCAGGTGGCCTTCATGCTAGAGCGCCACCCGAGTGCGCACAGGGCTCCCGCGGCAGTGCCCAGTAAAACACCAAGGCCACTACCCCAGGCTCGCATTCAGACCTACTGAAGAAACAAAAAGCTCACCAGTTAGACGCAGCTTTTCTTCTGAAGTGTGAAATGACATCCTCCCCCCACCTAGTGGCTGAGAAGAAAAGTGTTTCAAGAGATGCCTCTACGCCAGAACCAAGTCTGACCTGCCTTTTGTGAGTGCAGCTACTCCCAGCCCTGGGGAGAGTGAGCCACCCACCCCCTCCAACGGGGCCGCCCCGACGGTCCTCCTCCCCCGGAGCTGAGGAGCACAGCAGGCAGGCCGGGCCGCCGACTCCCTGGGGCACCGGAGCGACACAGCAGCCTGGCAAAGGGGTGCACAGGCCCCGGAAGCGCCTGGTCTGCCAGGGCGAAATGGGCCCACAGGCCACCGTCTCCCTCCTCCTCACTGTCCACATGCAGGGTGCGCTGAGGCCTGGCCACTGCCCTGCCCTTTCCCAGGAGATCACAACCTCGCCCGTGCCCTGACCTCCAACCAGACTCGAGGGTCCAGGAGACGGGAGAACTGCCCACATGCTCACCAGACAGGTGAGCCCCGAGACTGCGGGACACCCCCCCCCATCTCGTCCAGGACACGCTGACCCCAGAGGCCCAGGCCTGCTGCACCCTGAACGGAGCCTGGGGACCACACCACCGGGCCATCTGCTTCTGCCGGGTGAGCCTGCAGCAGTGCGTCCATTCCACACCCTGCCTGCCTGCCTGCCTGCCGCAAATACCTCTGTCGAGAGCGAGCCCAGAGTCTTCTGGCCACAGCTGAAGGTCAGGTGCGCTGCAGGGTGGGAATGACCCCCTCGTCCACGTCCCCACTGCTGTGAACGACAGCACCCCGAGGGGACACCTCTGGAGTTGGGTGGCATTTCCCCTCAACATCTAAACCCTGGCCACCGTCTCCACACCCACTCGTGCGACCTGGCCCGAGCTGGCAGGAGACAGGCACCATGACAAGTGATGCTCTTCGGATCTCAGTCGGTCCTCGAAACCAGGCTCACCGTGCCCTGTTCACGCAGTCAGCACCGCCTCCGGGAAAGCTAGGACAACGGACAGGTGTCGACTTCCCAAAGGGGAGAAGTCCTCCCCACAGTCCCACCCGACAGGGCAACGTGGAGCCTCCCTGAGGGGAAGAGTGAGGAGATGTGTCTGCACACACCCTCCAGGCAGAGCGAGATGCGGTGGGAGGCCGTGGCCATGGCAACCACGCACACAAACAGAGCAGTAGGTCTCAGACTTGTTGGACCCAAATCCCTTCCGCTCTAAAAAATTTCAGAAATCTCAAATGGGTTTTTGATATATTTGTTTAACAGAAATTAAAACCAAGCAATTCTTAAAACACATGTTAATTTATTTTAAAATAATAATAAACTCAATACATCTTGCAGATGACAAAGGGCTGGGTTCTCACCCGGCTCCAGCCTCCCACAGCTGTGCTCCCGGGGCCTGCCCAGCGCGCCCTGCCGAGGGCACCGGAGAAGGCAAACGCCACC